CCCCTCCTCTCCTCTCTCATCCCCTCTCCACCCTCCTCTTCCCTCCATCATCCCTCTCTCTCTCTGCCCCTCTCCACTCCTCCGTCTGTCTCTCCGTTCCTCCTCTTCCTCTCTCCCTCCTTCTCTCTCTTCTCTCTCTCTTCTCTCTCTCTCCACCGCCCCGTCAGCTCGTCCTCCGCTCTTTTATTTCTCCATTCTCCGTTTCTCGTTCCCTTCCTCTCTCCTCTCTTCCTTGCCCTCCATCCCTCCTCTCCTCCCTTCTCTTCCCCCTCTCTCACTCTCTCCCTCCTGTCATCTCTCTTCTCTCCTCTTCCTCACCCTCTCTTCTCCTCTCCCTGTTTCTCCCCTCTCTCTTTCTCCTCTCATCTTTCTCTCTCTCTCCTCTTCTCTGCTTTCCCTCTCTCCTTCCCCCATCTCTCTCTCCCTGCCTTCCTTTCTTCTCTCTCTCTCCCTCCTCCTCTCTTCTTCTTCTCTCTCTCTCGTTTTGGTCCAAATGTAGAAAAAAACCCAAAAACACTCGGCTCTAGAGACGCGTCCAGACGTCTCTGTGTCTCTGTCTCTGTTTATGTCTCTGTTTATGTCTGTGTCTCTGTGTCTCTGTTTATGTCTCTGTGTCTCTGTTTATGTCTCTGTGTCTCTGTGTCTCTGTGTCTCTGTGTCTCTGTTTATGTCTCTGTGTCTCTGTGTCTCTGTTTATGTCTCTGTGTCTCTGTGTCTCTGTTTATGTCTGTGTCTGTGTCTCTGTGTCTCTGTTTATGTCTCTGTGTCTCTGTTTATGTCTCTGTGTCTGTGTCTGTTTCTGTTTATGTCTGTGTCTCTGTTTATGTCTCTGTTTCTGTGTATGTCTCTGTGTCTCTGTTTATGTCTCTGTGTCTCTGTTTATGTCTCTGTGTCTCTGTGTCTCTGTTTATGTCTCTGTGTCTCTGTTTATGTCTCTGTGTCTCTGTCTCTGTGTCTCTGTTTTATGTCCCTGTGTCTCTGTGTCTCTGTGTCTCTGTCTCTGTGTCTCTGTTTATGTTTATGTCTCTGTGTCTCTGTTTATGTCTCTGTGTCTCTGTTTATGTCTCTGTGTCTCTGTTTATGTCTCTGTCTGTTTATGTCTCTGTGTCTCTGTTTATGTCTCTGTGTCTCTGTTTATGTCTCTGTTTATGTCTCTGTGTCTCTGTTTATGTCTCTGTGTCTCTGTTTATGTCTCTGTGTCTCTGTTTATGTCTCTGTGTCTCTGTTTATGTCTCTGTGTCTCTGTTCTGTCTCTGTGTCTCTGTTTATGTCTCTGTGTCTCTGTTTATGTCTGTGTCTCTGTCTCTGTGTCTCTGTTTATGTCCCTGTGTCTCTGTGTCTCTGTGTCTCTGTCTCTGTGTCTCTGTTTATGTCTCTGTGTCTCTGTTTATGTCTCTGTGTCTCTGTTTATGTCTCTGTGTCTCTGTCTCTGTGTCTCTGTTTATGTCTCTGTGTCTCTGTTTATGTCTCTGTGTCTCTGTTTATGTCTCTGTGTCTCTGTTTATGTCTCTGTGTCTCTGTTTATGTCTCTGTGTCTCTGTGTCTCTGTGTCTCTGTGTCTATGTCTCTGTTTATGTCTCTGTGTCTCTGTTTATGTCTCTGTGTCTCTGTTTATGTCTCTGTGTCTATGTCTCTGTGTCTCTGTTTATGTCTTTGTGTCTCTGTGTCTCTGTGTCTCTGTTTATGTCTCTGTGTCTCTGTTTATGTCTCTGTGTCTCTGTTTATGTCTTTGTGTCTCTGTTTATGTCTCTGTGTCTCTGTTTATGTCTCTGTGTCTCTGTCTCTGTGTCTCTGTTTATGTCTCTGTGTCTCTGTTTATGTCTCTGTGTCTCTGTTTATGTCTCTGTGTCTCTGTTTATGTCTCTGTGTCTCTGTGTCTCTGTTTATGTCTCTGTGTCTCTGTTTATGTCTCTGTGTCTCTGTGTCTCTGTCCTGCAGATTTAAACAAAAACACAGATTTGTCCAAAATTATACAAGAAATGTATCAATGTCTCTGTTTATGACCAAACTGATCTAAACCAGGACTAAACCAGGACTAAACCAGGACTAAACCAGGACTAAACCAGGACTAAACCAGGACTATTGCAGTTTGTGTTTAATCTGATTCTTCCGACCGTAAACAGGAGCAGAAATGATCATTTGTTTTGCCAAAATACAGAAATCTGTGTTTGTGAACATAAAGCAAAAAATAAAAATAAAAAAATCTACGTCAGAAGTTCCTCAGATCACGACTGACACCAGAATCCACAAAATTCCAGTTTTGGAAATCTGGTTTAGTCCTAATTTAGACCTGGTTTAGTCCTGGTCTAGTCCTACTTTAGTCTTGGTTCAGTCCGGTTTAGTCCTGGTTTAGTCCTGGTTTAGTCCTGGTTCAGTCCGGTTTAGATCTGGTTTAGATCTGGTTTAGTCCTGGTTCAGTCCGGTTTAGATCTGGTTTAGTTCTGGTTTAGACCTGGTTTAGTCCTGGTTTAGTCCTGGTTCAGTCCGGTTTAGATCTGGTTTAGATCTGGTTTAGTCCTGGTTTAGTTCTGGTTTAGTCCTGGTTTAGTCCTGGTTTAGTCCTGGTTTAGTCGGTTTAGTCCTGGTTCAGTCTTTCTTGTTTCTTTCTAAAGTCGTTTTAGACCAAAGTTGAGATTTTAAAACGTCACGATTAGAAAACGACGAGTTTTTTTTTTTTTTTTTTTTTTTTTTTAAGTGTTTGGGCTGAATCGGGTCTAGTTGTCGTTTAGTTGGAGGTTCAGGTGCTGTTGTGCCACTGGGCAAGACACTAAAGTGATGGAGCAAACTTCAGAAAAATGTTTTAGACGATTAGAGAGAGAAAGAGATGGAGAGAAACGAGGAGAGGAGGAGAAATGGGTCTGATGATTGACAGAAAAGCAGCGCGCGCCTTTCGGGTCCGGTCCGGTCCGGTCCGTGACGCGTGACGTAACCGGAGTATAATTAGCCGCCCCCCGCTGTCTTTGGCCGCTGTCCGCGCGCGCACGGAACGCGGTGACGGAACGCGGCGGATTCCTGGAGCGGGAACCTGAGCCTGCGCGGCGGGGGGGCGGCGGGGGGGCGGCAGGATCGTGCGCATGCCGCTGCTGCGCTGACGGACGGCGATGAGAGCGCACGCGAGATTTATGGAGCCGCGGGAAACGTGAGATCTGATTGGCTCCCGGAGACACGCGGCTCTGCGCCCCGTCAAAGAGAAGAAGCATTAAAGCGCTCGAGCTTAAAGTGCGCGTGACAGGCTTTACGATTCTCTCATTTACGCATCTGCAACTTTGACTCACGCCGCGCCCCGAGATGTTTAAATATAGACGAAACGTTACACGAACCGAGAGGAGATTCGTGAAGAAAAGATGAACATGAAAAAACTGAGAATTCTAAAACGTGCTGATGACGTCACATGATACATTTTAAACAGTTTCATAATATTTTTGTCAAATACACGCATCACACATTTCAGACTTCCGGTCATCGTGCAATTCACACTGGGAAAGATTTTCCGAAAAAGTGAGCGTCAAACCTCCATGTTTGTTTTCCCAGTGGGACGTGTCTATTGTCAAAGTCGATTTTTTTCAAGTCTTTTGAACCATTTCACTTTTGTTTCTGGTTCTGATATTGTCATATTTTAGTTTTGGGATTCAGACGTCGTAATTGTGTGGTTGTTGGATCCAAACAGCGGAAAACGACTCGAGAAATGGACTTCAGTTTGTGAACTTCATAAATGCAAAAGTGAATCAGATGTGTGTGACTCAAACCTCTGTTCAAACTGTTTCTCTTCCCAACGGAATTGAAAAATAGTGAAAGGTGAAGGTGATGGGCAGGATTGATCCACAGGAAGAACCAAAAAGGAAACATTTGTCTGACTAAAATCATCCTGAGTTTACAGAGAACATTTTGTATGTGGAGCCACGACAAAACAAAATCCTGATCCGTCGTTCAACTTCGGTTATGAATTTAAAAAGTCAACGCCAAAGTGAAAGTCTCCAACTGTTCACCAAGAAACACCTTCCACTGCAAAGACCAAGACGTGATGTTTGTGTAAAACCACAAGAACAAGAAAGTGCAGCTCAGTCTGTTTGTCTTCTGCTCCTCTACATTAACAAATGGGATTTTGTTTTGTCGTTGCTCCACATACAAAATGTTCTCTGTAAACTCAGGGATGATTTCTTAGTCAGACAAATGTTTCCTTTTTGGTTCTTCCTGTGGATCAATCCTGCCCATCACCTTCACCTTTCACTATTTTTCAATTCCGTTGGGAAGAGAAACAGATTGAACGGAGGTTTGAGTCACACACATCTGATTCACTTTTGCATTTATGAAGTTCACAAACACATTTCTCACATTTCAGTCGTTTTCCGCTGTTAGGATCAAACAATCACACAATTACGACGTCCGAATCCCAAAACTAAAATATGACAATATCAGAACCAGAAACAAAAGTGAAATGGTTCAAAAGACTTGAAAAGATCGACTTTGTCAATAGACACATCCCACTGGGAAAACAAACATGGAGGTTTGATGCTCACTTTTTCGAAAAATCTTTCCCAGTATGAACTGCACGATGACCGGAAGTCTGAGATTCATAATGAATGTGTTATAGCTCATTTGTGTTTACTTTAGAGGAGGTTTGGCCTATGGAGTATAAAGTGGTTGCTATGGTGTATAACGTGGTTGCTATGGTGTATAACGTGGTTGCTATGGTGTATAACGTGGTTGATATGGTGTATAACGTGGTTGCTATGGAGTATAACGTGGTTGCTATGGTGTATAACGTGGTTGCTATGGTTGCTATGGTGTATAACGTGGTTGCTATGGTGTATAACGTGGTTGCTATGGTGTATAACGTGGTTGCTATGGTGTATAACGTGGTTGCTATGGTGTATAACGTGGTTGCTATGGTGTATAACGTGGTTGCTATGGTGTATAACGTGGTTGCTATGGAGTATAACGTGGTTGCTATGGTTGCTATGGTGTATAACGTGGTTGCTATGGTGTAAAACGTGGTTGCTATGGTGTATAACGTGGTTGCTATGGTGTTTATTGTGGTTGCTATGGTGTATTACGTGGTTGCTATGGTGTATTACGTGGTTGCTATGGAGTATAACGTGGTTGCTATGGTGTATAACATGGTTGCTATGGTAACAGTTATGGAATTCCTTAGTGAAGTTCAAACGTAAACTTAAAAATGTGTGAACTTTAAAAGTTGTTTAAAAGTGTTGTTGTAAAAGGACGAGTGTAACCTGTCATACGCTCTTTAACGAGGAGGTGAGGGCAGGAGGACAGGTGCAGACAGGAGCAGGCAGGTGCAGACAGGAGCAGGCAGGTGCAGACAGGAGCAGGCAGGTGCAGACAGGTGCAGTGCGTGTACAGACCTCGGTGGTTCATGTTACACTCGCTCTCACATGAAGATGAAGCCCATATATCTGACACACACACACAGGGGCCCGGCACACGTCAGGACGCAGGTTCAACTCCCGGTCACTCAGAGGCATGTGTGTGTGTGTGTGTACATGTGTGAGTGAGTGTGTGTGTGTGTATGTCTGTGTGTGTGCTCGTACATGTGTGTGTACATGTGTGAGTGTGTGTGTGTGTGTGTACATGTGTGTGTGTGTACATGTGTGTGTGAGTGTGTGTGTGTGTGTGTGTGTACATGTGTGTGTGTGTACATGTGTGTGTGTGTGTGTGTGTGTGTGTGTGTGTGTGTGTGTGTGTGTGTGTGTGTGTGTGTGTGTGTGTACATGTGTGTGTGAGTGTGTGTGTGTACATGTGTGAGTGAGTGTGTGTGTGTACATGTGTGAGTGAGTGTGTGTGTGTGTGTGTGTACATGTGTGTGTGAGTGTGTGTGTGTACATGTGTGAGTGAGTGTGTGTGTGTGTACATGTGTATGTTTGTGTATGTGTGTGTACGTGTGTGTGTGTATGCGTGTATGTCTGTGTGTGTGCTCGTACATGTGTGTGTGTGTGTGTGTGTGTGTACATGTGTGTGTGAGTGTGTGTGTGTGTGTGTGTACATGTGTGTGTGAGTGAGTGTGTGTGTGTGTGTACATGTGTGTGTGTGTGTGTGTGTGTGTACATGTGTGAGTGTGTGTGTGTGTGTGTGTGTGTGTACATGTGTGTGTGTGTGTGTGTACATGTGTGTGTGTGTGTGTGCTCGTACATGTGTGTGTGAGTGAGTGAGTGTGTGTGTGTGTGTGTACATGTGTGTGTGTGTGTGTGTAACATGGATCTATTCAAATAACTGGATACAGTATTGCTGCTTGTAGCTGCCTCCAGTTGACGTAGTGTCACTCACTGAACTTCAGCAGAAAAAATCCCATGGGCCGAGACAAGATTTTTCTCATAGAGGCAATGTGATCACAAACTGCTCGTGTTCGTCTGACAGGTTCATCTACAGCTTTCAAAAATATCGGATTTGTTGGCGATTTTTACCTATTTTTAGATCATAAACTTTTTCTCAGCTCAAAATCCTTCAGTTGTCTTAAAAAAACGCTTTATATTCATTAGCTTCGGCTCCGCTCTGCTTCACTCTGCTCCTCTTACTCTGATTGGTCAAAGCGATCACATGATACACGAACCCGCGCACCATGCGTGCGTTCGCGTGCGTTCGCGTGCGTTCGCGTGCGTTCGCGTGAGAAAAGAGCACTACTGCACATGCTCGCTCGGCCCACAGCCACCGGAAGTACCTAGCCAGGCTAGGCTAATCTGGGATCATGCGCCATTGAGCTCGGGCAAATTGACTTGAATGCGCGGCCATTTTGGAACCTGGGGGCTTGGTGTGTAACATGAGACTGGTTTGGGTTTTGGGTGGTCTGTGGTCTGTGACCTCTGACCTCTGACCTCGGTCTGTGGCTCTGGAGCCTTTGGAGAAGTTCAGGCTCCAGGGAGAGAAAAACCAACCACGAGACGCTGCCACAGTTTCCTGCAGAAAAATCAGCTTTAACAAAATGGATCCAAATGTGTTTTATTCTGAAAGTAACAACAGAACCAGTTTGTGTGAGGAAAAGATTCAGAAACACTGGAGGCACCATCCACTTCATCATCTTCATCATTACCTCCAGTAAAAGGCCTGACCAGGATATCGACTGAACGATATCGACTGAAGTGATATCGACTGAACCGATATCGACTGAAAGGTAGAACCTGGTGTTCCTGGGTCGATGCTGATATTCTGAGCCGGTATCGTGGTCTCCTCCTCAGTACAGCTGTGAGGGTTTAGAGGAGCAGCCACACTCTGGTCAGTCTGCCCCGGGGCAGCGGTGACCACAGGGTCTGGGGGTTCACACTCTGGTCTGTGCAGAGGTGGAAGGTAACGAAGTACAGTAAGTGGATACTTGTTCACTGTTACTGCAGTACATGTGAGAGCAGGTCTCTGTATCTGTACTTTCTACTGTTCCACAGTTTTTAACTGGACTGAAATTAAAAATGAGTTTTAGGAGTTTAGCTTCAGATTCTGTTCCTCCCCTCACCTCTGGTCAGGAGCTCTGGGTAATGGCTGAAAGGATCAACGATACAAGCGACACAATGAGTTTCCTCCACAGGGCGTCCGGGCGTCTCCCTCAGAGACAGAGTGAGGAGCTCGGAGTAGAGCCGCTGCTCCTCCACATGGAGAGGAGCGTCTGAGGGGAGGGGAGGGGCCCTAGGACACTGGAGGGACTGGAGGAACTCTGGGCTGGACTGGGAACAGCCTGGGGTCCCCCTGGAGGAGCTGGAGGAAGTGTCTGGGGAGGGGGAAGTCTGAGAGTCTCTGCTCAGACTGATGTCCCCGACCCGGAGAAGAGGAAGAACATGGACGGATGTTTCAGACGAAAGCTTTTGAGTTCAAGCTTCAGCTTTTAGAAAACACAAATAAATACACAAAACTCATGAAAATGAAATCATGAAACATTCATATTGACACTGTTCACTAAAATCTGTAAAATTTTATAATTTAGTTGAATTGTCTGTTTGTTTCAGGGAAGAACAGTGTGTCTGAGTTTCAACCTCCGCCGTACGATGCCTCTCTGCCCGAGCCCGCCACCAGAGACGACTTCATCAAACGTACGTGACCCCGCCCCCTGACCCCCCGACCCCGCCCAACCACACCTAACCCCCTAACCCCGCCCAACCACACCCTAACCCCGCCCCACCACACCCACACCCTAACCCCGCCCACGCCCACACCACCACACCCTAACCCCGCCCACAACCACACTGCCCACTCTAACCCCGCCCACAACCACACCCTACACCCACTAACCCCGCCCACAACCACACTGCCCCCTACCCCAACCCCGCCCACAACCACCCCGCCTCTACAAACCCCGCCCACAACCACACCCTAACCCCGCCCACAACCACAGGTAGACACAGGTAGAACATGCAAACTCCCCATGATGCCAGTGTGTGTTCTTTTTCGTCTCCAACCTTTTTCCTCCTGTGAGCTTAGATGAGGAACAGTTAAACGTCTATAAAACATGAACCATTTTCCACGCATCAGAGCACAAAATTACACAAAATTATTCAGCGCAAAACGTAGAAATCTCTTGTGCGGAGCTGCACACGGCACACGTCTCTGATCTGACCAAGATTTTAAAACTTCTATCAGGTTCTTCATCTTGTTTTCAGATTTCTGATCACTGAACTCGATCTGAGACGCTTCATTCTCGTCTAGAGTTCGTTTATTTTAAGAAAACCTGTTCAGTAAAATGATTTCGCTGCATGGACAAATCATTTCAACACTTTTAAGTCATTTTCTGATAGATTTAATTTGTTGAAGTGTTTATATCTTTAATTTTGTCCAAGCTTTTTCGCAGTGAGTTTGGAGACTTTGGTTGTACAGTGTGATAAATAAACACGTTCCCGTCTCTCCTCAGACTGGCTGCCCGTGACGCTCGACGATCGCACGGCGCAGAAGCTGCTCTGGATCTCGGAGGGCGGGGCTAAAGTGGCGAGGACGTCAGAGGCCGTGTGCCCGTACCCGACCCGCCCGGAGCGCTACGACCACTCCCCCCAGGCAAGTCCGCCCCTCTGACCCCGCCCCCTCCTCTGACCCCGCCCCCCTCTGATCCCGCCCCCTCCTCTGACCCCCGCCCCCCTTCTGATCCTGAAAAGGAAGAGATAAAAAAGGTGCAATTACAACAACAAACTCCGAGATGCAGATTCACGCGGGACTCGAATTCTCACCGGACGTCTGTGTTTGGAGAAATATTAAGGTTTTGCGTGTGTCGCGTCAGTCATGTGATTTCATGTTTTGTCGTCCGTACTGCAGGTCAACACGGGGATTATTCGGTTTATTTCAGTATAATCACGGCGACTTTAAACAGCGCAAATGACATAAAACTGTCCGAACTCTCCAGCTCTTTAGATCAGCGTGATTAGAAAAGTATAAATCTAAAGTCGTCCTCCTGGGTTGTGGAATAGATCCTGATCTAACTCCGATGGAGCTTTGTTAGTTTAATCAACGCTCACTCTGTGTCCGACCTTTAGTCTCCAGATATTTACGACTTCATTCATTCGACATCGTCCTCCACAGGGCGTCCGGGCGTCTCCCTTAGAGTTAGAGTGAGGAGCTCGGAGTAGAGCCACTGCTCCTTCCACGTGGAGAGGAGCGTCTGAAGGGAGGACGTCTGTTCTGATGTCTCCTGGACGTGTCCCTCAGGAGGTGTTCATGTCCCACCGGGAGGAGGAGAAGACCCAGGACACACTGGAGGGACGATGTCTCTGGACTGGACTGGGAATGTCTTGGGATCCCCTCGGAAGAGCTGGAGGACGTGTCTGGGGTGAAGGAAGTCTGGGAGACTGATGTCCCCGTGATCCGGTGTTACGACCTAGAAAAACTGAGTCCCAACATATTTAGGAAAGGACACGGAAACCAAAGTAAAGTTTTAGAATTCTTTTATTTTTCTTTGTGTAAAGATGTTTTAAAACCCAAAAGAAACCCTATCCGTGCCCAAACCAAAAGTAACAACGGAAAGGTGGACCTGGTGAGTCGGCCAAAAAGAACAAAAGGGTGCGACACCGGGCCGACCCTGTACAGGGCCGTAGGAGCCGGTGCCAGCGCCCGGAACTAAAGACAAAAAAACACAACAGCCTAAACCCAACAGAAAAGTGAAAACAGGACGGCCGGTCCCCATCCAGGTCAAACGGCTCACAAAAGCTCCCCAAACGATGGAGGAGGGGAGCCAGCAGGGCGGCTCCCAGCGCGAGGCGTGAGCGCTCCGGTCCCTGCGGCGGACGAGGAGGAGGAGAGAGAGAGAGAGAGAGAGAGAGAGAGAGAGAGAGAGAGAGAGAGAGAGAGAGAGAGAGAGAGGCTCGCACATTTAAAGCCTCCTGCCGGAAATGAGCCCTATAAAAACATAATCAACTTACTAGAACAAAATTAGGCAGAAATGCTACAAAAAATATAAACAATAAAAAGAAAACAGGGAAAAACCAAACAGTGCCCACACGTAACATCCGGCCCAGATAAACGGAAAAAAATGGATGGATGGACAAATACGACACGTTGGTCCAGATGGACAGTTTGACTCCAACACGGCGACATAAACACCAGGTCACGTGGAAGTTTTGTGACGTAGACGCAAAACCTTAATAGTCAGAATATTTACTTTACACATGACAGAGCTGGAGGATTCACACAGGATTAAGAACCTCAGGAATCCCCCACAATTATTACAAATCACCAAAAGTCCACAGGTCAAACTGATCCTGTGTGAAAAGGACTTAAGACGTGAACATAAACACACACGTAAATAAAACAAGACGACACGTTTGTCCACAAAACTGCAGCGAGTTTCCAGGTGAGTCCTTCAGCAGCAGAACGTCCGGGGCAAATAAACCTGAAACAGGCACGAGGTCTGTTTGTGATCGGTGTTATTTGGAAATAGAGATCGAAATGTGTTTTTATTTGACACTAAAACGGAAAAATTAAACACCAAACAGTTTTCCCATTTAACAGTTTTTCATTCTTAATTGAAATTCAAAAGAACGAACGCTGCACGGACGGAAGGCGGGTGTGGGGTCTCCCTGTGTGACCCCTGTGTGACCTCTGTGTGACCTCTGTGTGACCCTGTGTGACCCCTGTGTGTGACCTCTGTGTGACCTCTGTGTGACCCCTGTGTGACTCTGTGTGACCTCTGTGTGACCTCTGTGTGACCCGTAGGTGCTGTGTAAGGAGGCGGTGTGGGGGTTCCGGGTGTCCTCGTGTGTCCTCTGTGTGTCCTCTGTGTGACCTCTGTGTGACCTCTGTGTGACCTCTGTGTGACCCCTGTGTGACCCGTAGGTGCTGTGTAAGGAGGCGGTGTGGGGGTTCCGGGCGTCCTCTGTGTGACCTCTGTGTGACCTCTGTGTGTGACCTCTGTGTGACCCCTGTGTGACCGTAGGTGCTGTGTAAGGAGGCGGTGTGGGGGTTCCGGGTGTCCTCTGTGTGTGACCTCTGTGTGTGACCTCTGTGTGACCTCTGTGTGACCTCTGTGTGACCTCTGTGTGACCCGTAGGTGCTGTGTAAGGAGGCGGTGTGGGGGTTCCGGGTGTCCTCTGTGTGTCCTCTGTGTGTCCTCTGTGTGTCCTCTGTGTGACCTCTGTGTGACCTCTGTGTGACCTCTGTGTGACCTCTGTGTGACCGTAGGTGCTGTGTAAGGAGGCGGTGTGGGGGTTCCGGGTGTCCTCTGTGTGTGACCTCTGTGTGACCTCTGTGTGACCTCTGTGTGACCTCTGTGTGACCCGTAGGTGCTGTGTAAGGAGGCGGTGTGGGGGTTCCGGGTGTCCTCTGTGTGTGACCTCTGTGTGACCTCTGTGTGTGACCTCTGTGTGACCTCTGTGTGTCCTCTGTGTGTCCTCTGTGTGACCTCTGTGTGACCTCTGTGTGACCTCTGTGTGTGACCCGTAGGTGCTGTGTAAGGAGGCGGTGTGGGGGTTCCGGGTGTCCTCTGTGTGTGACCTCTGTGTGACCTCTGTGTGACCTCTGTGACCTCTGTGTGACCTCTGTGTGACCCCTGTGTGACCCGTAGGTGCTGTGTAAGGAGGCGGTGTGGGGGTTCCGGGTGTCCTCTGTGTGTCCTCTGTGTGTCCTCTGTGTGACCTCTGTTGACCTGTGACCTCTGTGTGACCTCTGTGTGACCCCTGTGTGAGTAGGTGCTGTGTAAGGAGGCGGTGTGGGGTTCCGGGTGTCCTCTGTGTGTGACCTCTGTGTGACCTCTGTGTGACTCTGTGTGACCTCTGTGTGACCCGTAGGTGCTGTGTAAGGAGGCGGTGTGGGGGTTCCGGGCGTCCTCCTGTGTGTCTGTGTGTGACCTCTGTGTGACCTCTGTGTGACCCTCTGTGTGTCCTCTGTGTGTCCTCTGTGTGTCTGTGTGACCTCTGTGTGACCTCTGTGTGACCCCTGTGTGACCGTAGGTGCTGTGTAAGGAGGCGGTGTGGGGGTTCCGGGTGTCCTCTGTGTGTGTGACCTCTGTGTGACCTCTGTGTGACCTCTGTGTGACCCCTGTGTGACCCGTAGTGCTGTGTAAGGAGGCGGTGTGGGGTTCCGGGTGT